CAGAGTTTTCGATGAGTGGAGAGTTAAAGTTTCCACCGGAACTCGAAATGAATTGTGATCGACCAGATGCTGCATCCGCCATAGCCGTCTCTCTTCCCTAACCTCTATCCAAAGAGAAGAATAAAAAGAAGAAGTTGTTGAAAAGTTTTGTTAGCTTTCACAAACTATTTATACTACAAGGAGAAGAAAATCAGAAGCAGAGATCGAGATTACTCCACAACTTAAGGGGGATTACAACAAATAACGGAATATCCAAATAAGATTTTAATTGTGGACTTAGTTAGTGGTTTATTTTATTTTTTAAAATTTTAAGCCAAAAAGGGGTTTATTTGCATGAACATCGGAATGTATGTCTAAAAGACTGTGTGTTTTTGTTGGGCCTACGCTTTGACATATGTGGCACGTGCTATCACGTTCATAATTACGACAACATTAAAATTAGACACACTTTAACAACAATTATGCAAGTCCACCTGTCAAATCCCATTTAAACAAAATTTGATGAAACTAATTGACTTAGATTCACATTCTTAAGTTTATTGATTTTTTATACACTAGTTTAGATTTTACGATTGTGAAAACTATTTTACACAAATAGGTAGTTGATTTTTAAACTATTTTACACAATCACATTCTCAATATTGTTTTATCAAAGAAGATATGATCCAATTTGAAAAAAATTATGGGACAATTTTGCAGAATATTCTTTAAGTCTAAACATTGTATATAGTAGTAGAAAACATGAACTATATTTTTGGGCATTAAAAATATCAAAAGATAAGAAAAATAACTTTTATTTGGAGATATAGTTTACAAGGTGTTATAAGAAAACAAAACCCATTAAAGAGTTTATATTTTATTCCATGTTATTTATTGTAACGTTGTTCCCTGTATAAACCTACAAGAATCTGATAAAAACAAGACACAAACCAATTCTTATAAGACCTATCTAAGTTCCTTTCCACTACAAGTACTATCGAAAGGCTTTTCAGACTTGGTTTGGACTTAAAAACTTTATCATAATCCTAAGTTTTAATGATGATTGAACTCATAGCTTATCTTGTCTTCCGGAAAAAAAGAGAACCCTCTTGTTCAATCAAAGATCGGATGTAGACACTCTATTAGGTAACTGCATATTGACAATGTCTTGTCTTGGAAGTGTCTCCTCAGTTTGTGAGTTTCTTGATGCAAGAAAATGAGTTGGTTCTCTGTTTTTCCGGAAGACGAGATAAGCTATAGAAGCTAAGTAAATGGCAATGCCTGAGAACCCTAGAATTCCACAGAAGACGACTGCGACGAGCTTCATGTGACTATGGATAAGCAGTTTGATGAAGCTGCTTACTAGATAGTATATGTTTATTCCCATTATTAAACCACCAATGACCCAAGTCAAAGCTGAAATCTGTGAAAAAAAGGGAACATATTAAGCCAGATATCGACGAAGGTTTTCGATCTTTTTTGCCTTGATTGTTACATACCGCCTTTGGGTTGACGTGTGAAGCCATTTTGGTTTTGCAGCTAGTGAACTTGAGAAGAGGAACTAGCGCGAACGGAAGCTCAAAGGATAAGATCATCTGTTGAATAAATTTTAAAAATGATTAATATGGTTTAGTAGGTGATATATATACATTATGACTAGAGATGGAATGATTGTGTTACCGAGGCAATGATGATTAATTTTCCGGCTCCAGCTGAACCACCGATGATAGCAACGATTAGACTAGGGATTATAGCTAAGCATCTTGTTAGTAAGTTTCTAAGCCATGGCTCGAGTCTTAGATCAAGAAAACCCTGCATGACGTATTGTCCAGCGTAAGTTCCAGTGATCGTTGAACTCTGACCGGAAGCAAGAAGCGCGATTGCAAATAGCTTTGAACTCCATTTCCCCACAACGTTCTGTTTCAAAACAGAGAAAGTGAAAATCTTTAGTGTTCTGAATCATTATGGAAAGAAACACAATAAGCAAGCAAGAAAGCAGTTTACCCGTAGTAGAAACGACGCCTTGTTTAAATCCAAATCCTCACAATTAGCTCGATCTTCAGGGCTTAAGTCCGGGGCATTACAAACTGCACCACTTACTGATATCACAGAGACATTTATGAGAAAGGCCACCATTAGAGCCAATCCACTTTCTATCAAGTAAAACCTGCACGCTTCCTTGATTCCAGTAGCGGAACGAGGGATTTTTCTGGAGAGAACCAAAGCCGAGTGGAGGAATAGATTGTGCCTGTGGACAAGAGAAGGTCTCAAAACATTTATCAAAGAATATTCTCATGGATGAGTGAAGAGAGAAAGAAAAAGCTTACGGCATAACCATGGCTCCGAGCAAAGAGATTGCGAGACCAGTTGCGCCATTTCCTTTAAGTTGAGGAACAAAGAGACCATGTAGGACTTCTCCTGGGTCTGGCTTTGAGTAATGGATCTCAATAAAGAAGCATATAGCAATTGTGAACACAAGAAAGGCAATCAAGAACTCCAGCTTTCTCACCTGCAAACATCATTAGAACTAACCATAATTAGCATAGCACCATGAAATCAAAATGTTCAAAAATAGTCAAAAATTAATACCCCGTATTGTTGAAGTGCAAGAAGCATCAGTGTACTTAATCCGGTCAGAAGAACACCAATCCATACCGGTATGCTAAAGAGCATGTTCAAAGCAAAAGCTGTTCCGATGACTATATAAAGGAAACACATTTTGGCAATTAGTATCAACATATAGATTAGAGAAAATTACTGAAACATAACTAAGAGTAGAGAAGTGTAATGCCTTCAGGTATGTCACAAGCGACTACTGCAATTTCCGCGACAACCCATAACATAAAGTTTGGAACTTTGGAGTACTCAGCTCTACAATGCTCAGCTAAATGTTTTCCTGTGATCATGTAACCAAATTTCGTAAACTTGGACCATTTATAACTAAAACCAAAGAAATACTCTCTTTTTTGTTGAAAGAGTTATAACCTGTGACAACACCAAGATTTGCAGCCAGGGATTGAATAACCAAAGCCGCACAAGAAGCCACCAATATGATCCAAAGTAACTGTTTTCACAAAGAAATCGGTATTTTTTCATATCGAAAAACTATAAGCTAAAGGCCAGTAACGGAGAAGCACAAACGCACCTCATACTTATATCTTGCTCCGGATTGCAAATCAGTTTCAACTGCAAAACACACAAGAAGAAGAAAAGAAGCTTTAATAATCTATAATTACAAAAGAAACAACAAAAATGATATAATGAGGTGATGTGATTTTATGAATAATCTTACAATTTCCAGGATCAATATAAGCGATTGAAACAAGAAAACCAGGGCCTAAGTACGCAAAGAAATTCTTCCAACTCTTCTTCTGCATATATATACATCAAGAAATG